CCCCAAAACCCCAAAACCCCAAAACCCCTTTCCTTAATAATAAGATTGAAATTATGGAAGCTAGTGCTGAAAAGTAAGATCTTTTTACCCCAAAACCCCAAAACCCCAAAACCCCTTTTTTGGGTGGTGAAATTGAATGGGTTACTTCTTAAGTGCACCAGAAGAGGGAGATTTAGGTTAGAACTTGTTGAATAGATCATATTCTTCCCCAGTGATAGCAGTTCTGTCTAGGTAGGTCACTCTAGATGTCATTGTAGAGCGCCTTCTGTTTTGGAAATTTCAGTTTTTTGGCTTATTGAAAGGAGATTTTGAAGCATTTTTGTTTTTGACCTCTGGTGATTTTAGACTATTAGCAAATACTGTGCTTTGTCTTTTATAATGTTTTGTAATTTCTTGAGAAGGCTTTGGAGAGTTTCCAATTGCTTCATATTCTTGGTAATATCTTCCTGATGAAGCAATCGGGCGATTGTAATTTAGATTTGCTGTGTAATCTCTCATGTTTGCTGTTTTTCCAAATCCTGATTTTCTGACATACTTTAGTCTTGGATATTCTGGCTCTATTAAATAATCAGCTCCAGTGGTTGTATAAGTCTTCTTAGTTCTGAATTTATCTCCATATGCTACAGCTTCAAGCTCTTCATCATCAAAATATTCCCCATCGTTAATATACTTTGATTTTTTTGCTGAAAATCCCCCTCTAGAGATAAATCTGCTTGGGATAAGCTCAGTTTTTTTATCATCTTCATAATTCTTGTCAATTTCCTTTTCAACAACAGTTCCTGCTCTTCCATATCTCCTGTCAATTGATTTGGTGATCTTTGATTTCTTCTTAGATCTAAAATATAAAGAGGAAAAGCTTACCCAATGCTCTTTCTGGAAGCACTACCATATTTTTCAGGTGTTCTGAATTCATAACTCGCTGTGTATCTATCATTCATTATATGATTTCCTGCAGTATGGCTTCTACTTTCCCCATCATTGGTGCTTTTACCTTCGTTTCCAAAATCAGGGCTGTTATGGATTGCACCTCCAGGAGGATTTCAGTCAATTAAATTATTATTTCTCCTGCTAACATTTTTGGCCATAGAGAATTGCTGCTCAACATTGGAGTTCTCATTCTCTTCGGAGGATTCACCAAGAGAAGTATCATTCTTGGTATTTTTACGCTTTACTGAGCCTTCAGTCTCATCGAATTCTATAGTTCTTCTTGATGGCTTCTGACGAGCCTCAACTTCGAATCCTATAGGTTCTGGCTCAGAGTTTTTATCAGAATCCTCAAAATACTCATTTGGAGGATCAATACTCTCTACTTCGGGGTTATTAATACTATTTTCTTCTTCCAAATATGAGGCATAAGTCAGGATGACTCAGTATTCGCCTTTGTTATTGATCCCGATTTTCATTCCAAAATGCTCGAAATCAGGACTGAAGATAATATCTTTGTTCACGTTGTCCTCGTCTGATAGAAGTATGCAGATCAAAATATCCTTCCCATCAACACCCTTGCGGGTGTAATGAACGATTTCGTTGATTTCACCATCCCATGTACAGAAGTTTTCAACTCTTTCAGAGAGTCTAGACTCAGGATTTTCTATTGTGAAGTACATCTTGGCTGCCTTCTCAAGGTGCTTTGAGTGCTGCAGTTCATGCACTGGATCAACACCTTGAAGGTAGGTGATAGCTTCATAGATCTATAGAATTAATTTTAGAGAAGAAATGTCGCAAAATACTTCTAGAAATTTGTTTTAGTAATAAATCGAAGAGTGTTTTAAAACTGAGAGGAGTGCACTTTAGAGACTTACAGCGTTATCAAGATTCTTTCCATCCAGTGCTTCAAGGATGATCCTTCTCTTGGAATAATAAGAGTTCCAGTTTGTCAATAAATCTTCGAGCTCCTCTATTAACCTGGCGGGATCTATTCTAAGTTTGTTTTGTTCTTTGACTATATGTTTATGCTTAGAGAATAATCCTTTTGAGAAAGCTTACTAAAGTCAGCTTCTACTTCTTTTGGTTTTAGAGGCATCTTTAATTTTTATTTTGCCAACTTAAGTAATCTTAAAGGGGTTTTGGGGTTTTGGGGTTTTGGGGTTTTGGGG